GAAAAAAAATATCGATAATATTAATATTATATATTAATATTAATTATTATATATGAATATATATAATATTAATACAATATTATTATTATATTATTATTATTTTATTATTATATTATTAATATTATATATTAATATTAATATTATATTATATTATAATAATATTATTATTATATTATATATTAATTATAGTATTATATTATTATATTATATATTAATATTAATATTATATTATATTATAATAATATTATTATTATATTATATATTAATTATAGTATTATATTATTATATTATATATTAATATTAATATTATATTATATTATAATAATATTATTATTATATTATATATTAATTATAATATTATATTATTATATTATATATTAATATTAATATTATATTATAATCATATTATTATTATATTATAATAATATTAATATTAATAATAATATTTTCATTTCGAGCAAACTCGGTGCTTCTTTATCTCGCGTTAAACCGTTCGAAAACACTTTCCCAATTCATTCGACGCGCACTTCGAAAATATACAATCGCAAGGAAGCGCCGGAAAACTAGCTTTTCCATGGCCGAGGAATCCTTTTAAGGTTAAACCGTGCCGAATTTCCGACGTGTTCGATATAATGAAATCGCGCGCCGCGAGAAGCAACAATTCCGAATGCATTCTCGATCCCCCTCCGTTTCGATATACATTTTTGCCGGAGTGTTCGGTACTACGACGCTGTTACAGGGGAATATTTCGCCGAGAACTTCAGAACCGGCAACATGGAGGACGCCGGCGCTTTTCCTTTCATGGGCGACGAGGACGAGGGCGAGGACGAACACGAAGATTTCTCCTCGAATTCCGATTTCCAGTCGAAGGTAAGATATACTTACGTCTACTATATATATCTTGTATCTATATTTTTCCTCGCCTCGATTCGGGGATCAATTTCGATTCGGCGACGCGGACCACGTCGAATTTTTCCTCTGTTAAGACGCCCGCCGGAAATGTAACGAAATATTCTTTAGCGGCGCGACGCCCCTGCGCTGCGTTAAATCCAATAAAATGGCCGAGATACGATTTTTTAAGTGTGTGCGTCGCTGAAAATGTAACAAATATGATTAAAATTAGATACTAAATATTGTAAAATTGAAAATAAATATCATAAAATTGAAATTAAATATAAAATCGAAGATAAATATTATAAAATCAAAAATTAAATATTCTAAAATTAAATATTAATTATTCTAAAATTAAAAAGTTAAATATCATAAAAATAAATATTAAATACTATAAAATTAAATATTAAATATAACAAATATCTGAGCAACACACTGTACCAGTATACTTTGTTATTTAGTAACACACAATTGTTCATCATCTTCAAATTGTTTTCGATTGTCTTCAGTTTCATTCGCACATTTTTTAATAATCCTTAAATAAATTACTAAATAATTAACAATTATTTAATGCTTAAAACGTTCCACCAAGTTAAAATACCATAATAAATAAATATCCAATCGACTGAATAATACAAATAACATTTTTTGATAATAGTTTTCAACTAATTATCTATTCGTTTATAATCAGCTTTATTTATCATTATTACCTAGCAGATACATTTTAGACACGTTAAACGAGAAAAATGATTTCGACCGACGAAATCGAACGCACGCAAACACATACACATACATACAGAACTGTGCGACAGAGCGACTGATAAACAACAATTGCAAAAAGATCGGGAATACGTTGCTCGAATTTCTTATCACGGAGCCCGAGCGTTTTCGCGACTCCCTTACGCCATCGACGTGCTCCGAATTCCGCGGTGACATTTTTTATTTAAAATAGCCCGGGCGGGCCATCGCGAAGATAAGCTGGCCGACCGTGACAATTTTTCTAAGCGCAAAATAAAAACCGAAACGAACCGAGCGAAACGAACAGAGTCGACGATTTCAAGGAAAGCTCGTTCGCACGGCGCACGGGGAAGATTTTAGTGACTTTTATGACAAAAACCTAATTTTTATCGCTTGTTAAATGTCCATTACCCTCGAGAGTGGAAATATTAATAAAAATGATCGCGTAAATTGTATCAGATACGACAATTTAAAGTTGAACATTTCGAACGCTACATTCGACGCCAAAAAATATGCTTCTTTTCCTCGCGATGTCCCGACGAACCTAACTAACTTTTTCCTTCGCTTTCTATTTTAACATTAGGAGGCAATATTTCTCGTTAGTTAACAGTAGCTTAAATTAAGATTATCGTATCGGGTTCCTCGGATCATACGAAGCAACTTTTTCCTTTACAAAAATGTTCTCCGAGGCACCGTTAACGAGTTATTAACGAAAAACAGTGACCAATGAGAGGCGAAATGAGCGGAACTGGGCTTCGCGCGCTGGTTGGCTGGGCCGCCTCGTGTCGGCCGTACTCAATTCTTATTGGACACTGTTTTTCGTTGATAACTCGTTAACGGTGCCTCGGAGAACATTTTTAGATACATTTGTGACAATTGTATCTACAATTGTAAGATCGTAACAATTGTAAGGCAACAATTGTAAGACCGTAACAATTGTAAGGCAACAATTGTAAAATTGTAACAATTGTAAGATTGTAACAATTGTGACAATTGTATCTACAATTGTAAGGTCGTAACAATTGTAAGGCAACAATTGTAAGACCGTAACAATTGTAAGGCAACAATTGTAAAATTGTAACAATTGTAAGATTGTAACAATTGTGACAATTGTATCTACAATTGTAAGGTCGTAACAATTGTAAGGCAACAATTGTAAGACCGTAACAATTGTAAGGCAACAATTGTAAAATTGTAACAATTGTAAGATTGTAACAATTGTGACAATTGTATCTACAATTGTAAGGTCGTAACAATTGTAAGGCAACAATTGTAAAATTGTAACAATTGTAAGATTGTAACAATTGTGACAATTCTATCTACAATTGTAACATCGTAACAATTGTGACAATCGTATCCGCCATATTCCCACCGCACTACTTCGTCGTTTCTCGCGAATCCAAAGGGACAAACTTGCCGCAAAGGTGACATTACTCGTTTCGTTCAAAACGAAACGGCGGGAGTGGATTTTTTTTTATTATTTCGAACACACACCAGAAAGAACCCTCTGCTGCCGGACTATAAATCATTCCCGGCGTTCGCGCCAACAAAAGCAAAACGAAAAAAAAAGAAGGAAAAAAACTATCACGGACGGTTCTTCAAAATCGATTCTGAACTTGTCAAAACGATGAAAATGGTCCGCGATTGGCTTGAGTTATGGCAGACGCTTTGTTTCGAGGATAATTGAAAAAAAAAATGAAAAAAGAAGTTAAACCGATGATCCGCGCGCCACTCGTTAATTGTGTATAAAAATGGAGATTCTCGACGGCCGCGGATGTTAAACAAATTCATCGGATAGGCTGTTAAATTCGCGGCGCGTGCCACGGTGTCCATAAATCTTCGTTTCCATATAAAAAAGAAAAAAAAAAAAAACGCAAAACGAAAAACCGTTTAAATCTTTCGGCCGCGGCGCACAGTAGGCTGCATCGAGAAATTCAGTGACATTCTGTTATAACTTTTGAACCATCAATGATATTGCAATGAAATTTTCACCAAAAATATTTAAAGAAATAGTTATTTCCAGCTACAAATAATGAAATTGTTTTTGCATCTGTTAAACAATAGTTTTCAATTAATTTTCATTGACATGTTTTGTGGAAAAAAAATTGTTTAAATATAATGTTACAAACTATTGTTACAATCTTACAATTGTCGCAATTGTTATGTCCAGTTTGGTCCAATAGAGTTATTAATAGAGTAATAATCATATCTACTTTTCCACAAATTGTCCATTTCTGTGGACAATCTAAGCGTCAATTAGAGAGACATTACTATAATAAGAATACAGTAAATTCTCCCTAATTGACGCTCATCTTGGAAACAAAAATAGACAATTTGCGAAGAGGCGGTACGATTATTGCAGCCTTTGCAATATACAGGGTGTCCAAAAAGATTCGGACCAAACTTAGATTTCGTCTTACCGAGGTCAAATAAATAAAAAACTTCCTGTAAACTAACATCCGAGACTGCTTTATTAAAAATAAAGTATAGTAAAATTACAAGTAACTTATCATAGTAAGTAAAATCATATCTTTTCCAAAGATATTTACAATTTATTGCGACAGTTCTAAGAAATGGTCGCCGCTTTTTTCCACCGACTGGCCCAAGTTTCCCCCAAAAAACGCGCCACGCGTCCCAAAAATCCCACCTTAGCCTACTTCAATTCCCCGCTTTCAATTGCAACCTCCGACCACAGAGATATATCTCTCCAGAGTGTACAAATATCCGTTAAATCCCCTCTCGGAATTCCCAATTAACGGCGAATATTTTCCTGCGCTCTGTTCCAGACCATGCTGATAGAAGGCAAATGGATGCAGGAGAGGAAGCTGTTCGACCTGAAAATCGAGGAGCTGCCCTGCCGGAAGTCCTCCAGGGAGGACCTAATGGCGTCGGAGCAGCCGTCGAGCCGCCACGAGAACGCCCGGGTCGGATGGTCCGGTTCCTTCTGGTCATCCTCGTCCAACTCGATCCAGCCTGGGCTGTCGATTCTGGTGTACTGGGCGGTGCTCCTGCTGTCGGAGCTCTTCACGTAGAAGCGGCGCCGGAGCCCGGTCGACCCACTAAGCAGATCAGAAGGATGGCCCATGGACGAGAACAAGGACAAGGACGAGGACGGGGGGGAGGACGAGGACGAGGACGAGGGAACGGTTCCCGGTATCCGAAAACGCGAGCACAATTGAACCGGACCGGCGCACGTGTGTATGTGTGTGTATGTGCGTGTCTGCGTGCACGATGATAGCACCTTCGCGCGTGTCTGGCGCGCGCGATCGCGAGCGTGTGCGCGCCGTTGCGTGCGTTCCGAGCCGGAAAACGGCCGATCGATCCGCCGAGGGATTTCCGGCGCGTCCCCGCGCGTCCGCGAGCCGCGGGAAGGTAAATAAATAAGATAAGAAGAAGATCCGGCGAACGAACGGCGGCCGATCGTTTTCGGCCGCCTCGCCTCTCCCGCGGAGAATCGCAATAGTCGAAGGATTATGATCGCGATCGAGCGCGAGCACGCGCCCTGGCATCCGCCGAAGCCATCCGCGCCGAAAAACCGGCGGATTGGGCCTCAGGGCGCGGCGGAGGGGAGGAGCGAGGCGAGCCTCGGCGGCCGGCGAGGCGCACTTCGGGCGAAGACTGCGGCGATGCGGACGGATGTCGCGGTCTCCCAGGGATGAGGACGCCTCGGATGCGCGTGTCTGTGTGTCGGGTGTGTGCGCGGGGGTCCAAGAATGTGTAGGGATCCATGTATCCTCCTCGAGATCGATGATCCTTCGCGGGATCGAGGAAATGGCCGGCGACGCGAGCTCGCGACCGCGAAGCGATCATAACTCGAACGCGCGACGAGAAGCGATACGCTGCCGGATATCGAGCCGGGCCGGGTTTATCGATGATTCAGACGTCATCTGGACATCCTGAATTCTCCAAATTTTGTTGAAATCTGCGATCGTCGTCGCTGCACGTGAATACATCGCTCGCGCGCCGCGTCCAAGACGGCGCTTCTCGTCGACGATTCGCGCGACCTTCCCTCCGGAACCCTCCCCCCTCCCGGACCCTCCGCCTAACCCGATCGTTTCCTATACTATATTGTACAGGAACGTTTCTAGATGTGGTCTCCGTTTGTATTTCGAAGATAGGACGTTTCCGTGTCCGTCGGCGTCGCGGCGAAGCGGATCCGTAATCATCGTGGACGATCGGATCGCCGAGCTTCGCGTCGGAAACGCTCGGAATCTCGACCAGATCGCGTCCACGCCCGAATCTATCGGTTTCTAGGGATCGTTCGCGGAGCGTATAATGTGTGTGCACGAGAGTGCGTACATGTGTGCGCCCGCGCACGCGGTGCACGCGCGGTTCTCCGCGAGTTCGCGGCGATTTTTCGACGCGCTTCGACGCTCTTTCCGGGCCTCCCGGGAGCAAAGTTCCGCCGTTTAGGACCGATCCGAAGTCGGAAGACGATTCCGCGAGATGCTCGGACAACTCCGAGCGCAATCGCGCCGCCTTCATCGGCGCCCAGAGCTCGTGGATCGCCGAACTTCTCTTCTCGCGCTCGCCGAACACAGCTGACCGCGACGCGCCGCGGTTATTCCCCGTTTTTTTCAGTATTTTTCGCGCTCCCGGAAACTTCGCTTGCTTTTCGCGTTCGGCGATTCGTGTTTCGCCGGTTTTTCATTTGTTTAGTCGGCGGCGCAGAAGCGGAAATCGCAGAATCGTTTAACGTTGTCGCGCGCAAACGCGCGGCCGCGAGCAGCCGCCGACGATATCGCGCGTTCAAACCGCGGACGTTCGTACGATTTTCAATGTTCTTTTGCTTTTTATCGATGCCTCGCCCCGGCGATTCCTTCCATTTCGTTTGATTCGTTGCTCTGTGCCGTGGTTAAATTGTCGCGCGAAGGATCGCGCGCGTTTCGGCCGAGTTCGCGAGGCGATCGCTGCGATTTTGTTCGCGTAATTTGCCTTGCTCGGCACTTCTTTGGACTTGATCAGCTTGCTGATAGGATCATTTTTGTTTGTTGTTCGGCATCGTTTAGGTCCATTCGGCGTTTCGATGGCGGAGCGATGAAATTTCGCTTTTTTAGGCGAAATTTAGGCGAAACGAACGACGTCGATGTTTTTAATAGCTCGCGTTTTCTTTACTCGTTGTTACATTGCAAGCTGCTGCTGGAAACGGAAACATAAATTTTAATTTATGCAATTTGATCGACGATCTAAAAATAGAGGACAATCGTACGAGGAAAGGATAGGTTCAATAATTAATCGTTTGCGGGAATTGTGCGGGAACAAAAAATTTTACCGCGGTGTTTTTTCGCATTTAACAATTAACGCTTGAACTGTGGATCAAGATATGCAAATAGTTAAATTAAAATCAATTTAAAATTTCACGTGTTTCGTCGGGGTTTATAATACAACCTTGAACTTTTGTGAACTTTTTCTGTCAACTTCTTGGACTCGAAATTTCTATTAAAGAAAAATTTCTATTAAAAATCTTGTTTATTGAAATTGAATAAAGAAGATTATAAAAACAATTGCTTGGAATGTCTTGAAATAAAACATCAGAAATTATATATTATTATTATTGTAATAATATTATTAATAATAATGTATCTATTAAAGCATATGCTTAAATAAAAAAGATTATCAAAATAATTGTCCTGAAATGGCTCGAAATAAAAAATCAGAAATTATATATTATTATTATATAACTATTATATATTATTATAATATATTATTATATATTCAATAATTTTATAATATTATATATAATATATATTAATACGTCAAAGAGCACGTTGAAACGAATTGATAAATTCGCGTATAAATAATTCCAAGCTCAGTCGGTCACATTTTTATCAGAAAGATCCGTCGTTCGAGCGTTGAACGTTATCTCTGAAACGTGATTAGGACGATCCCGTAATTTACGAGTACGATATCGAAGCAGAAACGTTCGTTCACCCGTCCAAGAGCGTAATATTAACCCTTTTGGTGCCGAGCGAAAATATCGTCGTATTTGTAAAACCAAAGTAAGAATGACATTTGCAAAATTTACAAAAAGCAACATATTACGAAATAAAGGGAAAAATAAAGTAACGCCAATTGCGGTTTAAATGTTCGTCGAAAACTGTACGAATAACATAAATATGAAACATATATGAAAAATAGCAAAATCAATTCTCTGTTTAGAAATATTAGTTGCAAATAAATAGCATCGTCGTTCGATCGTAGCTTTATGTGGATGTCATTCAGTACGAAGTATATATATTGCACTTTCAATCGCTTTAAATATTTATCGATCAATATTAATATTGATATATCAATATAATATATTCAATATAATATTGATATATCAGTATAATATATTCAATATAATATTGATATAGCAACATAATATATTCAATATAATATTGATGTAGCAACATAATATATTAAAAATAATATTGATATATCAATTTAATATATTGGATATAATATTGATATATTAATATGATATATTCAATATAATATTAATATATCAATATAATATATTCAATATAATATTAATATATCAATATAATATATTCAGTATAATATTGATATATCAATATAATATATTCAATATAATATTGATATATCAATATACTATATTCAATATAATATTGATATATCAATATACTATATTCAATATAATATATTCAATATAATATTGACAATCAATCAATATTAATCAATCGTTGTAAATATTACACTTCAAAAAAATCACTGATAATCGGAAAAATCGCCTGCAAAACAATCGAATTGTAGCGGCAGAAAAAAAGTCAACGTCTAAATTACCAATGCGCGCACCGACGCATCCCGAACAAATTAGGCGACGATGCACCGCGTCGTTCGGCACTTTTCGCGGGTGTCGCGAGCAACGATCTACGCTCGTTCGGCACCGAAAGGGTTAAGGTCTCGATAGAAACGTCAGCGCGTGGCGCGGCACGCTTCGCCGAGTCTCGCGCGGTCAATTACCGATCGAAATGCCCGACCTCTCGCAGCCTAATTATTACCATAACGATGAGCACCGTGCGCATTGTTGTTTCTCTTACGATGCACGGACAAAGCCGCGGCTTTCCACGGATTCGAGGATAGTCGATAGAGAGCGAGGGCCGCGTATATCGCTCGGTCGTCGTTATTCACGGCTGAGAGACGCGTCCGTAGCCGGTGCAGTAGCTCCCGCGGAATGTAGTAATACGGTGTGCAATAGTGCGCTCTGAAATTCTGAAGAATGTTTAACGTTGAACGCGGCTGAGCAGGTAAATGACGGAAAGGGAACACGTTCCGGGCGAAAGGAATAGAGACCGCTCAAAGACACCCGAGAAACTCTCGGCGTCTTGCGACTAACAACGAGTCCTGGGCGGGAGTCCTTTATCTTCTGGGTGAATGATAAGGTTCGTCGAGAGAGAGAGCGGCTGATCCGACGTACATTTCATCTCTTGCACGGAGCCAAGTTAAATTCCATATGGTAATCCGACTTGCAGCATCGTGGGAAATAATTTTTTTCAATTTGTGTTCGAAGTGGTGGAATTTTCGTGGGAACGCGTTTTGTTTTGGAAGTCAGATGCTATCGAAATAAATTAGTTATAATAATATATAATTGATATAATTATATTAATATAATTATTACACAATATGTTATATATAATATAATTATAATAATATATATAATATTATATTTAATATATATATATATAATATATATTATAATATAATTATTAATTATTTGCAATCTACTTACAACAAGACACTGAAATTTTACGAGACTAGTTCGTCGTCCAAGAGCGTTGATAAAGAGAGAAGATAAAGCGTCCAATCAATCGCGTAACAAAAACAGAACAAAACAAAAATAATATTGATATATCAATATAATGTATTCAATATAATAATAATATATTCAATATACTACTGATATATTAATATAATATATTCAATATAATATTGATAATCAATCAATATAATATATTCAATACAATATTGATAATCAGTCAATATAATATATTCAATATAATATTGATATATCAATATAGTATATTCAATATAATATTGATAATCAATCAATATAATATATTCGATATAATATTGATAATCAATCAATATAATATATTCGATATAATATTGATAGTCAATCAATATAATATATTCAATATAATATTGGCAATCAATCAATATAATATATTCAATATAATATTGATAATTAATCAATGTAATATATTCAATATCATATTGATAATCATTCAATATAATATATTCAATATAATATTGATATATCAATATAATATATTCAATATAATATTGATGATCAATCAACATAATATATTCAATATAACAGAAAAATGAGAAGATAATAAGCAGCCTAGAAACAATTTTCATTAAGATTTCACTTACGTCCATTCCCTTGTTACATAACCTTAAAATGCCACCAAAAGCTCAAGATAAAAGACAAAGAAGTGTCCCAAGCGTTTGAACGTTCGTTCAACCGATCATGGGCGATTCCTTCGCGCGATCGGAAATAAAAACATTCCTCCAACGCGGCCATCTTGATCGGCGTCTACGACGATCCGAATTCCCGTAGCATCGTCTTCCGACCGTGGAACCGCGAAATGAAATTCTCCATCGGAAAGAAATCTCGGTATCGAGCGTTCGTCGCCCGCGCACCACGCATATTCGCGTTCGACGAATAAAATTAACATAACCTCAAATTCATCACCGAATTGCCAGCATCCCGTCCTCGTCCCTCCGTCGGCTCCTGCCCCCCCCCCCCTCATCCCTGTCGAGCCTTCTTCGGCTAGCGAGCGTGTCCGAATGATGATCCGCTAATTGAACGTCAGACAATCGAGAGCGAAAGAGGTCACCGAGAGTCGTGGCAAGCTTTCGCTGTGTGAAGAAGCGAGCGAGAAGTCGGAACGGCGGACGAAATAGATAAGAATAGTACGACGGGGACCGAGAAGAAGTTCACAGGTGTCTCTCGGCAAGACCCCGGCGCCATTTCTTGTAATGTAAATCATTTCTTCAGCGTGTTTTCTATTGCGTGACCCCTCGGTTTGCTTCGCGCCTTCAGTGCCATACGACGTTTATTTATTAGTCGATAGAGATTAGCTTCCCGGCGGCGTCGATCACTCGGATCGCCGGGGATACGTTTAATTAATATGTCCGCCGATGCTCAATAATTAGCGAGCATTAATTAAGACGAGCACGCGTACTGGAAGTGGTTCTCGAGCGCGAGTGACATTCGGCTGGTTTTCGCTTCTGGTTCTATCCAGGATTTTACAAGGTTGAGGCTGAGGTTCGCGGTGTCTTGATTTCGTAAGAGGACGTCTCGATCGAAGGTTCGTCGGATTTTCGGGGAGTCGGGTGACTTTTTGGCTCGGTCCCTTTTCGTAATTAATTGTTTCACAATTGCTTTGCGTTTGTTGTATTTTTATTCAATAACTTCGAGATACTTTTATTTTCACTAGCTTCGCTATATCTGTAATTGTTACCTTCATTTTTGTAAGAATTTCCAAAAGATGTTTGATAATTCTTAATTTCTTATGTTTTATGTTAGTCGCCATCATTTCTAGTCTATACCGAGTGACTCATCACCGTGACTCATAATTATTGCACGAGAGCGAAATGAGAAGGTTCCCGAGGTGATTTCAAGCAACTTTTTCCTTAGCGAAAATGTTCTACGACGCATCGTTTACGAGTTATCAGCGAAAAACGTGGACCAATCGGAGAGCGAGCGCGGCCAGCGCCCCGCCCTGCGGCCAATACCGCGACGCGTCGGCCGTCTGGCACAGCAGTGGGGGTCGCGAGGGCGTGGCGCCAGCCGTACGTGATCGCTCGTTGGTCGGCGTTTTTCGTTAATAACTCGGAAACGAAGCGTCGCAGAACATTTTCGCTAAGGAAAAAGTTGCTTGAAATGAGCTCAGGAATCTATTATTTCACACTTGTATAATAATTTTTGGACACCTTGTATATGAGTGGGTTAGAATCACAGCGATGTATTTAACATTGTTGAAATGTTCTGAAATGTGATTTATGGATTCCAGAATGTTAGAAAGACAAGTGAAGTAAATGATAAAGTTGCTACAAATTAACTTAACTTTATAATATCTTGACAATAAATTTGATCATTATAAATAATGCATATGTTGTAGTAAATAATAACGCTTCTTGCTTCTCACAATGAAGAAAATATGATTTATGCTAATATGATTCTAATATTGAAATTAATCGTTAGATTTTTATAATATTGCAATTTTCAGTCACTATTTTACACTTTCATCGCACAGATTTGCAGTTTCAAACGAATAATTCAATTTTACAATGCAGTGTATTCGACTCGACGACTTCATAAGACAATTTAAGACAGAAATTTTATACTAATTAACTTCGCTTTCAACTAATTATTTATTAAAATGGGTCAACGACAATGCATAGAACAACTCGCTGCATCAACCAGCTCTGTTAATCGAGCAGATTTCTTGTCAATAACAATTTAATTCTAAAATTTAGCCTTGAACTGCAGAACGACTGAACCAACAAATATAGTAAAAAACGCCTTTGCATATTTATCAAAAAATCATTTTACAATTTAACTATATTCATCAAAAATCAGAAATACGAAAAC